AATTCCTGAGTTCGCCGCCAGCATCGTTTCTGACTTTTCGGTTCCAGGTCCTGGTTACACCAGCAGATTGGGGTCGTGGATGAAGAAGCAGAAGACTGGATGCTGGGCACAGTGGATCCAGGGGACTCCCGAAGTGATCAGAGTTTCGCCAGAAAGAAGGGGATTGAACTTGGAAGTTCAACTAGTAACTAAAATTACCCTCTGGTAATTTAACGTAGCTATTGAAAATGACCATAGAAATAGTGGATTTTCCCATTAAAAATGGTGATTTTCAATAGCTATGTTAAATTACCAGAGGGTAGTGAGTTTGTGTCACTGCAAATTGGATTTTTTTCATCCAGGATGTGGATATTCAAGTGAGCAGTGACACAAGGACGCGGGCGCTTGATGGGATCATGGTCTACGGTGGATGGCTGCGAAATCCCAAGAAAACCAGTTGAAAACGGTGGTTTATCATCCCATTATTTTGCTTTATGACTCCAGTGGCTATGGTTTATAGGTAATATATCTATAGTTGATGGGGTTTATAAACCAATTTATAGGTTTTCAAGCATCTCAGGTGGTGCAGGATTTCGCTGGCCCATCCACAGCACTTCCATCGGGGTTTACTCTCTTTTCGCTCAGGAAACCCTCTGGACCGGTGCGGGAGCTTATCCGAAACTCGGAGCCCCAAGTTGTTGAAGAGTTGTCCAGTATCCGCAGCAAGGTCATTGGGATAAATAGGATAAATGGATGTAAATAGGATACCCTTTGGTTATTTAACATAGCCATGGAAAATCGCCATTTATAATAGGTAAACCATCTATAAATGGACCATGTTCCATGGCTATGTTAAATAACCAGAGGGTAAATGGGATAAATGACACTGGACATGTTTTTTTAGTGGTTCTTTGGGTCTCGGGATGTCCCCAATTGAGACATCAAGGGGCCGTGGTTGGATGCCATGTGTGCATCCAGTACTACCAGTACCATCCATTTCTACAGCACATGCAACCATCATGAACCATCATTCTTATCATTGTCATAAATCCATATACCCTCTGGTAAACTAACATAGCTATGGAAAATCACCATTTTTAATGGGTAAATCAACTATAAATTGGCATTTCCGATAGCTACGTTAAATTACCAGAGGGTAAATCCGTAGTCCATCATTCGATTCAGTTTCATTGAAAATCGATCTGAGGTGGAGCTGCCTGCTATGCGCCCCAGACAAGGCGTCCCCTGAACTGCTTATGGACGTTTTTTTTGGAATTGAACGAAAGATGAAAACCGAGAGTTTGATAGTTTCGCTGTATGTTTAGCTGTATGTTTCAGTAAGCTGCATTTGTTTTAACTGTCAAACTTGTTATTGCTATAGAATGTGCTTCTAGTTACTGATTTTTTCAGCGGCAATCATTGCAGAACGATGAGGATTTAAGCCATCAACATGACAGCTTTCGTCGAGTATTTCTATGGACCTGCTGATGGTTCCGCCCAGAGACTTGCAAGGCTTTCCCAGGTGAAACCGTTGAGTTTTGCTGTACCGGGATGAAGGGAAAGAATATGTCAACAATGGGGTCCACAGCAAGAAACCAGCTTCAATGATCAACTGTCAAAGGGGACTGTTTCGGAGAAAAGAGGCACCAATTGCGGTATTTTTCGAGATATCGAGCTGAACAGTGTGATCTTATCGTTTACTAGAAATGTCCCAGCCGTGTTTATCTTGTCACCCTTTTGGCATGGCTAACTGGTCGGATCATTGTCGGATTCCCCGCAGGCAATGACTGAGTCGCTGGAGGCACATTGGGAGTGGTTCCATAGGGGATCCCTTCAGCTAATTGGTTTCACGGAAAACCCAGGGAAAATTTGGAAAGTTAGCGGCACCCCAATGACTTGGGAACATATCAGTGGAATAGTACTGGAATATGAATGGATTTGTTTGGGGATTTGCCCTTTGGTAATTGAACATAGTTCTGGTATAGATTACCCATTTTGTTCGATCTTTTATCTATTAAATAATATTAAACATGGTGAGTTTCAATAGCTATGGTAAATTACCAGAGGCTATGGTTGATGTTTTGGTGCACTTGGGGCCATGGCTATCAAATCTCACCAAAATCTGTGGCCCCTTTTTGCCCCGAGAAAAAAAAAACCAGGTCAAACATTGGAAACCCCCGGGAAATGATGAGAAAAACAAAAAACTCAAAAAACCACGTGTTTTTCCGTCCAAAAAAAATCGAGCAGCCCGGATTTTTTCCCAGTGGTTTTTGTCCTCATTCTCCCATGGAAATTGCCCATCCGATAGAGCGATGACCATTTTTTTCTCCGATCCTCCAGAGACCTCGAGTTTTCATGGCCAGGGCTTCGCCTGTTAGTGGCTTTAGTGGCGCGTACGGGACCCAAAAAAAAACCTGTAGAATGACAAAGCTATGGGGAGTTCAATGAGGGTACCCCAATAGACATAATAGACTGCTTGGTGAAAATATGGAAAGTTCGATGAACATTTGGATGAGAACTGGGGGCTACCCCTATTTCTGGAAACCTCCATATTGAGAAATGGATCCAAAACCCCTGATGATTTTGTATTGTCATGTTCATTGATCCGTGGTATTTTCAGTTTCTGACAAAGCCGATTAAAAAAAATGTCACCACCATTAAAGATATATTTATAGTTCCTATAAAAATTGTTCGGTTCGGTTTCCGTATTTTGAGTTTCCATCCGACAACGGTTGATGAGCTAGAATGAGCTTGGAATGGGTCAACATGGATCAACCCGGCGTTGCAATGAAGATTCGCGTTCGGGTAACAGGAACCCTTACAATGACGGGAGCCCGGTTCCCCGGTCACTTCCCATGCATAAGACCAATATGACTTGGGCTTCGAACATGAGAGTGGTGTGGGAATATCGGAATGGGGCTTCTATCATTGGGGCTTCTTGCGAAGCGAATTGAGGAAGAGCGAGATTTTTCTTGAAGATCATGGGAATGGGTTGATTTTAGTAGCATATATCAATCATATTAATCACACTATCTTTGGGTCTTCAGCCATGGTTTTGTTGCGGCCATTCCGGGGGTGGCCAAGGTGCTGAGTGCACAACTCTCGATCGGGATGCGGTCAACCAATGGCACAAAAAATGGTGTCTGAAAATGGATACTCATGGAAAATGGCCATTTTTCACAGGGAAAATATGGGGCTTATATGACTTATATGATGTTTTTTCTGATTCGCCATGGGATTTTTTTATGTTTTTTTTCTGATTCGCCGATTTTGGGGTACCATGGTGTAGCCTATTCTCAGACAAAGCGGCCCCTTCTCAGACCAAGTTTGCAAGTCGAGTTTATCCCACTAGGACCGGAGGAATCATAAATAGATCAGTGCCGATGGGTGGTGGGGAGATATTTAATTTGATTTAATATTAGGGGGAAGAGATTACAGTAATTATGAAGTTTCACTCTGATCCATGGCAAATCTCCAAAAATTTCAGGTGGTCATATCCTCATTCTTGCTGTAGACTCGAGACTTACCATGGTGATCAACTGGGTACCGTGGGTACCACCAAAAAGCTAAACACATACTCAGTACTAGCTGGGTCCTGGGTTGGAGCTACGCGGTTAAACAGGTGTCTTTTTATGTTCCCATTTGTAGGGTTCAATATTGAAATGGTGGTTTACAACCGAATTCAGGTGGCATTGATACACGGAGTAGAAGGAATCAGTGTGCCCTATGCACGTCAACCATAGTGCTCATATGCCCATGACAATCCTGTGTTGGAGAATTCAATGACTGTACCAGGTTGATATCCTCGTTTATTAAATCATTGGTAACCCTCTGGTAAACTAACATAACTATGGAAAATCACCATTTTTAATGGATAACTATAAATGACCATTTTCAATAGCAAACTAACGTTTACCAGAAGGCAACCTGTTTTTGCAGTTTCAATTCCTGCATTGCCAAATCCAGAGTTGCGATGAAAAACTCAGTCAGTCGTTTCACCCCCTGCGCGCGCAAGCGCGGTCCATTCCAAAGGAGAGGATCCGGCCGGGGGAAGGGTCACGGATGGTAACGGTGATCTGCAACGAAATTGCTACCCCTCTTTTACAGCGGAATCAGAGTCCAAAGTTGACATCATGAGTATTGGAATGATAAGACCATTCACTATGCAGCACAGAGCAGTGAAGGTTCAACGCCAGCAGATTTCTGCCGGTTGCACCCAGATTTCTCTTATTGGTAGCGTTTCAACCTGTTTCGAACCGCAAAGGCGTGTGGCAAAATGCAAAAGCAATGGCATGAGCGAGTGACCTTGCGATGACTTATGAACCCTCATTGAAACCCTGAGTGAATCCAGACTGCTGGGTAGACCGGTAAACTTGTAGTCAGTGGGCAAATCTTGATCAGACAGTGCTATTTAGAGTCTGGGTGTCTGGCCATTTGTATATGTGTTTTTTATTCTATCCAGCTAAAAAGAATGTTTCCCCGAGACGGATCTTGATTTTTTGTTGGCCGAATCTCCGATGATAAGAAGCGGTCCAGAGGTGTCTGGGTGCCCAGAACATCAAGGGTTTGAACAGACAATGGCAAATGAGCCATCCATTGATTTTATATGATTTTATGGAATGTGATCATTGCAGGGAAATGGGGCCAACCCAGAAGAGTAGTCGGATATCTTCAATAGTACAAGTAACCGGCAACAGCAGGTCCGGGCACAGCAAGTAGTCTAAAATTTGCTTGGGATCAAGATCGGATTCATGTGCCCAGGATTGGAGCAGGAATTCCTGTGAATGTTCCTTGGGTATTCGGAGAGTCGTTTGCACACCCTGAACGTCATGACAATCCACTCCCCACACCCTGTTTCCGTCAGAAACACCCGAGGCTCAAAGGTTGGCTTCCTTCACTCTCCATGGTTTTGTTTTTCAAAATCCAATGCTTGAGGTTTTGTTTCCCCAAATAAAAGCGGCCACAAGTTGGTGACTACCCCATAATTTGCAACGGATCATCATCCGACTTATCATAAGAACATGGACATGGAACACTCCAGGCCGCTGTGTTTTTTTCGCGCAATGCTCGCGCGCCCTGCCTTCGGTCCACACCCAGCCCTGCCAGCAGCACCGGCGCCGGCTCGAAGCTGTCCCGCCTGTGACTGGATGGCAGCCAGCGTGGCTGCATCATCGCTCCTTGGAGATGTGGGGCGCCCCACGTTTTTTGTCCCCAGACCTAAGAAAGTCGATGAAAGTCGAGAAATCTGGCTTCAGGAGTCCAAATTTGGTCATCATTTTGCGTGCCAAGTGTGGACTTAATAGTCATTTAAGCAGCCAGGAATTGTTGACATTTGCTGAGCCTGGTTTTCGCCATCCCTTCCTTGGGAAAATTCCGCGTAACGGACCAATATCCCTGTGTGATCACCACCATACGGATCTTCGTGGTGGATTCAACGAATGGCGCTTCCATAAGTCAAATTGAGATAATTGAGGGTCTTCCAAGATGATGCCAAGTGGTTTGCCCATCATATGATATCATATGTATATAAGTTTTGATATTTTTGATATACAGATATGGGTATGGATCAATACCTATTAATACCATTTTTCGGGGGATGAACATCCATTTACCAGCTATTTTGATGTTCACCAGGGGTACAAGGTTTTGAAAAGGGGTCCCCAGGACCTGTCACCCACAACGCAAAGCTGGTGGCTTTTTCCAGGGTGAATCCCAGCATTCCATGGGTTTGAGAAAAGCTAAGAAAAGCGCAGAGAGGATTATGACTATATAGATATATAGGCTATAGATAGATAGATGGATGGATGGATGGATAGATAGATAGATAGATAGTATATGTATGTGTCATATTATTACTATATATAAGCTATATATGTGCCACAGCTATATGTGTTTTCCCCATCCCTTCATTTCTAGAGGAATCCCCGCACTTTTTTATCGATAAAGATCAACACGGGCCCCTGCCCAAACCTGGTGATCGCCGTGGAATCAGAGAAGGAATGTGAAAATTGCCTAGGACGAGAAACAAGGCACAACTCAAAAAGATGTCGTTTGGAGCTTAAATAAGAAGGCACATCCCTCATTTTTGGATCAAATCACCGCTCGTAAAGATCATCATTCCGAAAATGTTCTGTCTGTGGTTAGCAAACGATAAAACTGAGTGTGATTTTTGTTTTAATTTTCTCAGATCTCCATAGAAATCTAGATCTGTCTTCTAGGCTGGTTGTGGCTGGTTCCCAAGCGTCCAGATCGTCCAGATCGTCCAGATCGTCCAGCACGCTCGCATCGCGTCAGACCTACGTGGCGCTGCGGTCCGAGAGTAAGGAGAGTAGCGCAAGCAAAACCGCACAGAAGAAGAGTGGCAACGCCTTCCTGCGTGGAATTGTGGCCACTTGATTGGATAAAGTGATGAAAAATGCACGGATGGATTATGGATTAGCACCTTTTATGCAAGATTTCGGTGCTCACCAGGGTAGCAGAGATTTGACTCATAACCATGTGGACAGAAAGGGGAGGACGATCTATATAAAATTTGGGGTTAAACCACCAAGCAATTCTTGGTGAGCTTCGTTGGCAGATAATTAGTTTTGATAGAGGACTGGATGCCATCTCTCCAAAATATATGCACGTTGAAGTGTTGATTGCTGACAAATGGAATACAGCTAACCAAAACAGGCAAAAGGGTGCAGTCAAGATTGCTTGCCAAGAGTTGGATGGTTGGTACTTCAATCAGCCAGTAAATGTGTTGGTTGCTGCCCGGCAACGCGGCTGTGTGAAGGTCAGTTTCATTCAGTTTGTCACATAATATGCCAATATGCGTTATTTGGTCTGATCTGTGTCATTTGACGGGGGCGATGCTATCAGCCGGTGGCTGACATGGGACTTTTTTCTCTGACCTGGACGCACCCGGGACATTTTATTGTAAACAGCAAACCAACTGGTGAATCGGGTATTTAAAAGACGACCTGACGTTTGCTTTTTCAGAGCATTGAATCCTCCCCTCGCGCTCTTAGTTTCACCTGTTTTGATTCAATTCAACTGGTTGAATCATCATTGCCTCCTGGGGATACATCTGTCAGATGCCGGTTGCTTCGTTAGGCCCCCATTTGTTGATGTCTTCCATGACCCAGTCCGCTGGTTAGATTGACAGCAATCGCTTCTTAGATTACATTAAGCGCTTTTCTTTCCAGTTTGAACACAGACCCGGTCAAAGAGGGATTTGGAAGGCAACTTTCCACCAGAACTTAATGTTTCTCAGGCTCTACCTTCGTTAAGGAGCTGATGGTTTTTCAATGTCCACGAGAATATCCATGGCAAGACCAGACAATATTCATAAATCTCCGCCATTCATATGGAGGTGTCCTAAAATGGGGGTACCCCTAGTTCTCATCCATTTTAATGGGAATTTCACGGAATTTCCATTATAAACCATCCAGCGAACTTGGGGTACCCCCATGACTATGGAAACCTCCATATTCCATTCGAAATTCTGTCAATATCGATGGAGACAACTTAGACCCCCATGAGATCCTGGCCATCGTCCACACCTGGAGGTTATGGCTCTGGTTGTTGCCGTCGTTGGTGGTTTAACCCAGGCTGGCTGGACGAACAAAAGTTCGGCCAAACGATTGCTATCGAAATTAAAACCAAACATCATTACCAGTAGTACCGCACAAGGCGGTGGCGGAAGTTTCAAAAATAATAAACCTGTAGGAGAGGTTGGTTGTTGTGAATCACGGATGGCAGAGCGAATCCACTGATGGACCATCCTACTCATCATCATCATCATCGTCATCATCATCACCATTATCCTCATCATCTTCTCATCATCTTCTCCTCATCACCATCATCATCCTCACCGTCCTACTCATCATCATCATCATCATCATCAACATCATCATCATCATCATTATCCTCATCATCTTCTCATCATCATCATCATCATCATTATCATCACAATCATCATCCTCGCCATCCTACTCATCATCATCATCATATTTTTCTTCTTTATCATCATTATCATCATCATCATCATCATCCTCATCCTCATCGTCCTCATCATCATATCCTCACCATCCTACTCATCATCATCATCATCATCACCCTCATCATCATCATCATCACCACCATCGTCATCATCACCCTCATCATCATCATCATCATCATCATCATCACCCTCATCATCATCATCATCCTCCTCATCATCTTTTCCTCATCATCATCACCATCATCATCATCATCATCATCATCATCCTTATCACCATCATCATCATCATCACCATCATCATCCTCATCATCATCCTCATCATCCTCACCATCCTACTCATCATCATCATCATCATCATCGTCGTCGTCGTCGTTGTCAAACAGAACATAGTCACTGTAGCAATCAGTATAACAAGGATAACAATCATCATCGTAATACAAGAGCAACAAACAAGAAAATGAATGAAAAATGGTTCATAGCAATAGGAATACTAGTGAGAAGAAAGTGATGATGACAATGATCAGTTGAAGCTTAAAGGAGGGGTAATGTTCGAAAAAAGAAAAACACGACCACGATAATAGTGATTGCAACGATGCTGATAAAGATGATAATGATAATGATATGAGTTTGTTTAGAAATGGTGCATTCCCCCTTTTTATGGGATTTTTTGATAAGGAAACCAGTGATGAACCAGCAAATATTGGGGTACCCTGATTTCAGACAAACCCATACTGGTAGTGAATGATACGCAGAATGATGGTAATAGTTGGACACATGATGATAAGTATTACATTCTGGTAACTAACACTTTGCTGTGGAAATTTCGCATTGCAATTATAGGTAGGTAATTGAACTAGATGGGCCGGCCATCTATACCATATCTATGTTAGCTTACCAGAGGGCAATGTTTGGAAAAGCCAACGATGAAAATGATAGTAATGCTTGTGAAAAACAGGTTAATCATGATAATGATACTTTCCAGGCAATAATGATGATAGAAAAATATGTAGGCACTCGTGTCGGCCCCCAATAAATAGCTCAAAATTTGGTGGAAGTCTCCCATGATCGAACTACGAGTTGTAGAATTCCCAGCACACTAGTTAAGTAGGGAAGTTCGGAATGGTAGGTGAATGGTTCATGTTGGTCTATGTTTTTCTGGAGGATTCATGGCTGAAGCCCATTACGTACTGAAATTCACGTTCTGAGTTTTGAATCATCAAAGAAAAGAATGGATGAGGGGTGAATTAGATGTACCAGAGGATAACGTTCAGTTCATGGTCTCAGTCGCATCCGGCACGGTGATGTCACAGCCGTTTCCCCCGATGTGAAATTGTGGAATCGGCCATTCCTAGTTTTTATAGTCGGAGTTTGTCAGGCCAATGCATTTTTTTTATTAATGGTGAAGAGTCTCAGTAGAAGCTATTATCCAAGTATCTGTTTAGGCCATGTCCACTTTCAGTTTTGCTCGCCTGTTGATCTACTCATTTCCTCTATGGAAGCAAAAAGATAGATGTGAATATGTTTCAACTCGTTTCGTGAGAGCTCCCTATTTTTCATCAACCTAGGAGACCCTCCAATAGGCGTCAACCAGACAGCAGTTGCGGATTGCTGGTACATATCCTCCTTGTACCCCTCTGATTTGAAATTCTTTTTGGTGAAAGTGTCATACATTTAATTTGTTGGTTAAATCACCCCGTCTCTGGTTATTGTAGATAATCCAAGAACACTGTTCTTGGTCAAATCATTCAAAAAATAAATTGGCGGGTTGCTGATCCCTGCATGGCCTCATGGTTGGTTCCATCGGTTTGTTTCCGAAGAGGTTCTCCAATTGCCCTGGGACTTTGCAGCCTGGGCTTTTGGTAGCTTGGATGGGTTTCCGCTGAATTTGCTGAAGATGATTTCTTATACGTCTTATATGTTTACATTGGTAAATCCACCAGTAAACTAGCAAATCGCGATCGAAACCATGGGTTTCCCGTTCGAACATGATCCAATGGAGGATTTTCCATATCTACGTCGGTTTACTGGAGGGTAATCCACCATGACCACGGCGAAAGGGCAGGTGACCCCAAAGCGGTCCTTGGAAGTTTCCCCAAAGGATTCACCATTCCACATGGGGACCGTGGCTTTGTTTTGTGGTCTGATTACAGCAAAGAATCACCCAAGCTTTCCACAAAACAAACCCAGGGTTCTATGAAATGGTGAATCTAGAGGGGGTGCAGGCCTGGGCCATTGATGGGTATAACCCTGGTCATAACTCTGTAACTTGGGATTTGAACCCGGTAACTATGGCAAGATATCTAGTTGTACCATCCATAAAAAACTTACACAATACCCAAGCAGTGTGGACCATTCCCATCTTAGAGACACGGAGATGGATACAGCTCAACGTCAATTTGGTCCATTCAGAGATGGGATGATAAGCAGTGCTTCTGAGCTATGTCAAGATGCAGTGACCCAAAGTTGATGACTATATGCCTACAGTATATCATACTACATTATATAATACTAGATCTCAGCATATAGATATAGATGGATAGACAGACAGACAGACAGACAGACAGATAGATAGATAGATTAGATAGAATAGATAGATTAGATAGAATAGATAGAATAGATAGAATAGATAGAATAGATAGAATAGATAGAATAGATAGAATAGATAGAATAGATAGAATAGATAGAATAGATAGAATAGATAGAATAGATAGAATAGATAGAATAGATAGATTAGATAGAATAGATAGAATAGATAGAATAGATAGATTAGATAGATGAGATAGATTAGATAGATTAGATAGATTAGATAGATTAGATAGATTAGATAGATTAGATAGATTAGATAGATTAGATAGATTAGATAGATTAGATTAGATTAGATAGATTAGATTAGATCAGATTAGATTAGATTAGATTAGGTTAGATTAGATTAGATTAGATAGATAGGTAGATAGATAGATGGATAATACAAGATCTCATTCTAGATTAATACTAGATTAGTATCAATACTAGATTAGCATTTATCCTGCTAGTTGAGGATCTCGCCAAGCTGCAAAGCGTTCCCGTCCCGAAGATTCGGATTGGTCACCATCACAATTTCCCAATCAATGACAACTCTACTGATAGTCACTGATAGTCTTATCTTTCGTGTTTCTACCCCATGTTTTGCAGCTGAAAGTTCTGAAATTCCAATGCTTGGAAAGATCATCCTTCGTTTTCTTGTCCAAATCCCCATCTTCCCGTGGTTCAGGCCTCATTTTTGACATTTTATGTCGATCCATATTGTTTGAAAACTGCAAATCTTTAGTCTAGTGAGTACTAAAGATCTAAATCCAATGAGTTTTGGGAACACCGAATGTTCATGGTATTTCCCCAAAAAGATCCCCCATGCGAGGCATTCAATGGGCCTTCTTCCTGTTTCAAGCCTGGCCTCAACGTGCCTCGGATCTCTTGGTCCCTGGGTCGGTGCATCCCGTAGCCATGTTATACCGTCCGTATAGCCCTAGTTATGTTTGAAATATCCCTAGTTATTTTCTAGTTGTATGTGTATAATACACAGTACACACATTTATATATACACATTTATATACATATATGATATATACATATATATATATAAGTGTGTGTGTGTGTGTATTCTAAACCTCTTACGAACTGAAATGCACATCCTAGTTTGGAATTTCCCAAGAATCTTACATCAAAAATTGGAAAGTGGTTAAATTTCCTACATACTATCTACTTGAAGATTTTATATGTATATACAATATATCCTATATATATATTCCCCATTGAAATTTCCACTTGGATGGTAAAAAATGCCAATGTTTTGCCCAATTCTCGTCCTCTCCGACTCCATTGCGCCTTTTGGAGTTTTCAGCCACATCATCTAACTTTTCCGAGTTGCCAATTACTCTGGGGTTCCCCGCTGGCCACATGTCACTTCAGAGATCTAGTGACACTGATTGGGGGCGCACTTCCACGAATACGTGGTCAGCTGCAACTTATGGGGGGTTTTACGGTTATATTCCAGTTATACCCATCAATAACCTCAAATTTACCTCCAAGTATGGTTCCCCGCGCGCAGAACCATTTGCAGCTCAGGGGAGAGGGGGCCCATCAAGTTCTTGGTAGCCTTCTGTTCACATGAAAATAGGCGATGGATGTTTCATATCATTATTTAAACCAAAAGAATGACGGAAGTTTCAGATTGTAAGGTCAAATTGATTTCCATTATGTACCCTCTGATAATCAAACGTGGCAATCGAAAATACCACATTTACAGGCGATTATCCCATCAAAAAGATCATGTATAGATTATTTCCGATGTGTCATGTTTCATTACCAGAGGGTATCTGTTCATATCCGTTCTCATTTTTGAGGTCCTCCATTTTGTTGTTTGTGCACCATCGTCCAGGCTCAGAGAAGCTCTACGATGCCTCAGGTGGATGGGCGGTGAACTTACCATCCCCAACTGGGCTAGAAACGAATCCAACTTAGTTTTTGGTAAATGGAAACCATGTCCAGCAAAAGATGTGCCATGTTTTTTGACCAAAGATTGACCATGTGGAAAAGTTCTGCAAGGGAAATTGAGATTGGATTCCAATTTCACCATTGTTTCACCATTATTTTATTCCAACTATTAGACATTTAATCCAAGTCCAATTCTTGGGGATTTTGGCAACACGCCACCTGACTCGCCATACATGATCGGGGCCATCATCAATCGAATTCTTTGCCCAGAATTGGTATCCCTGGGGTTCTAAGCGCCTCGCTTTTGGAGTTGTTGAAAATCACTTTGAAGGAATTGTTGGAGATGAACTATCCCCACTAGTTGGGTGATGTTGCATTAGAACATGTACCCCTGGTTGTAGGTGTAAGGAATAAGCGATTATCATGCTTTGGCTTATAAAGATTTGGCTTCTGGGGGATCAAACGATACCTACAATTGGTGGGATCAATTGTTGGGATCAACTTTTTCGAATATGACTGATATAACCAAAAATGATGAACGATAGCAACAAGAATGGAATATGACTGTAGGTTAGTGGGGTATACCACGGTTTCTGGGTAAATTATAGCATCCTCACGTTGTGACCTCATTGGAATCATGCATAGATTTCGGGGAATCATTCCCACGCCGAACTTTTCAGGTGAAATATTTTAATTTACCCAGCATGATTGACTGGATTGACATGATTCCAGTGATACAATTGTGTTGATATGAGACTGGTTCGTGGTGTCGACTCTCTTGTATTTCATGGCAGCCAAAACTTCCCCAGATCAACTTTTTGGGAAGCTGTTGCTTCGATCTAGTCCCCAGCTTCCCATCCTTGAAATCGATGTTTTCAGCCCTGGAAAAGTATGAAAAACATGTCCCCCTGTACTTGGCAGAAGCCAATATCGCCACAAAAATGAATCTCATCCAACCTAAGATTGAAAACACCTTGGAAAAAACCGGTGGAATATAGTTGATCTCTTCATTCTGCGGGCCATATTGGGGTTCTTTCATGTTACAGTGAAATCCGATTCTCATCCTTTTTGGCCTGGTCCCCATGCCCCAAAATCTCAGCTGAGATGGGGCCTTGGAGCTCCACAGCCTGACTATTCTCACTTTTCAGCTATGAATACGAAAATTCACCCAGGAATGATCATCACCATGGGAAAGGGGAACCCCTTTTTTCCACAGAAAAAGGAATGGCCAGCGCATGGTGCAGGTTCCTTGACACACCTGGCCCTGGTCCTGGCTGGTCTGCTGAGCCATCCTCTGCGCAGTCCTCGGCAGATCTTGCTGAGCGTTGCATCAGTGGTCACTTGTTGAAACCCGAGGCTGGCGATTTGTTGGGAAAAAGAACGAAGATTGGAAAGAAAGGAAAACTCTGATCATCAAACCTGGATTCCACATCTAAGTGAGTTTCCTGAAAAAAAAAGAAAGAGTGGAGATTTGATGTCCTGCCAGTTGAGATTCCACAGGTGTCTACCCTCCAACTACTGTACGTTACCTTACTTGGATGTTACAATCGATCAAACCTCAAAGAAAAGCCCTCCATTTCCAACTCTATCCATGTGCAGCGCATCTACTTCTCAGTGCCATTTGATTTCTCCAGGTTTTTCTCAGTCCATTTCTTCAGTGTAAAAGCACCGGTCCCATACACATATCTACATGTGTAGATATAGTATATAGAGATACAAATCAATATAGATCTACCAAAGGAAAATTAGAAGTTCTATACTTCCGTGCTGCAGATCTTTGGATGTCGCTGGAGTGAATGTCACTGCAATGGATGTGTCACATTGTGTCACTGCAATGGATGGTCAGTACAACAATGTTCACTGCAACGATTGTCGCTGCAAAAGCTGTCACTGCAATGGTTGTCACTGCAACGATTTTCACTGCAACGATTTTCACTGCAACGATTGTCGCTGCCACTATTGTCACTGCAATGGCTGTCACTGCAGCGTGACTGTCACTGCAATGGTTGTCACTGCAACGATTGTCACTGCAATGGTTGTCACTGCAACGATTTTCACTGCAGCGATTGTCACTGCAACGATTGTTGCTGCAACGGTTGTCGCTGCAATGACTGTCACTGCCATGAGTGTCACTGCAATGAATGTCTTGCAGGAAGTCCACGTGCTTCGTTTTCACATCTTCAACTGTCACTTTTTGAGGGACGTCTGGCCCGAGAGCTTCGTTTCCACATCTTCAACTTTCAGTTTTTGAGAGACATCTCGCACGAAAGCTTCGTTTCCACAAGTTCAATTTGCAGTGAATGAACTGCGAAAAGTTTTCGGCAATGAGTTTTTGCTTGACTTTCTCGTTTTTGGCGCCTTTCATTTTCCTTTTAGAACTCCTGTACAAAGGCTTCAAAATCGTACTTTTTTCGGCTTTCGGCAGAGAGATCCGCTTTTGGAGCAGGTGTTAGCTGTTGCCAGCATAATTCTTTTGGCTTCTGCAGCCTGGTGAGAGATGTGAGAAGAGCTTAGAAGATGTGAGAAGAGCAGAGAAGAGATGAGAAGACATGAGATTAGCTGACATGGGATGCGAAGAGCTGAGAACAGTTGTGAGAAGAGCTGAGAAAATCTGAGAAGAGCTGAGATGAGATGAGATGAGATGGGATGAGTTGAGACGACCTGACATGAGAAGAGCTGAGAAGAGCTGAGTTGAAACGAGCTTCGTAGAATGGAGAAGCTGAGAAGAACCGAAAAGAGAAGAGGTCAGATGAGCTGAGAAGAGATAAGAAAAGCTCGGATGACATAAGAAGACATGAGAACAGGTGTGATCAGCTGAGAAGAGCTGAGAAAAGGAGAGAAGATACGACACGACATAGGATGAGATGAGATGACACAGACTGCGGTGACAATGGGATTCAATGAGCAACTTCCAAGAGAAGCTGCGATGCGATGAGACCCGATGAAACGAGAAAAATCAACTTTCAAAAGAGATAGCACCGGAATGAAAAGTCAAGAGACTGTTGCTGCGATGCACAGAAGGCTTGGCCGCACCCTAAAGGCACAGTCTTTGCTCCGCTCTATAGGCTACCAGCGTTTCAATTTTGAAACTTCCGCCCTCGGCTTGCCCGGGCACTACTTGTATGCATGCATATTGCATATTTACATGTTTCTACATTTACATACATGCAGATAAATAGATAGATAGATAGATAGATAGATCGATCGATCGATAGATCGATAGATCGCTAGGTAGATAGATAGATAGATAGATCGATAGATCGATAGATCGATAGATCGCTAGGTAGATAGATAGATAGATAGACAGATAGATAGATAGACAGATAGATAGATAGACAGATAGATAGATACATGGGTAGGTAAGACGGGTAGATTGGTAGATTGGTAGATACACAATGTTCACACGCCCATACTTCGAGGTGTGGTGCACTCGTTTGGGCACCTTCCTGTTCAATCGCATCTCTCAAGACAGGGAGGTAAGCGAGCATCGCGGGTATCGGGTCTAAAAGAGATAGCGTGAATCACACTTGTCACATGAGCAGTGTTCAAAGCCCTTGTTGTTTGATGGCTCTAGGGGATTATATTACCCAACATAGGGGATTGCCACAATCCATTCTGGCAAATCCTTTCAACCAGGCAGTATGATGAACCCACAAAAATTGTCGTGAAAAATTTAGCCATCTGAAATGGCCATCCCCAGGACTTGGCGAGATGGTCAGGATGCGACCAACAATAACTAGAAGATCCAAAAGGTTGGTGCTTGCAGGGAGATAGTGTATGTTCACCAGCAATAGGTTGAGAGTCTTTGGAAATAGCAACATGAAAAACCCATTGACCCCAATGTGGATCATTTTTGATGCATACCCCTTGCGTAGACAGAGGGTATCCCAACTGTTGGATGGTGGAAACCGCTGCCAGGACACACGTTTCACAGAACTCAAAAAAGAGTCTTGGGCTGCACAGCAGGTGAGATATGCCCAAAACTCCCTAAATTTCACGTTTGTACAATTATCAAATATTATTTTTTTGGCATAGACTGCATAGATATATATATATATACGGTAACGACATTTAAATATGTAGAGGGCGGGCCAGGCCGCAAGGCCCCGGAGGTAGTATGAAATACCAGTTCGTATATTTATAAATGTAGTTGCACTATGTTTAAATGAATTGGATTCCGTATGTTTTAATGGCTGGGCGGACCAAGGAAAACCTTCCCGGAGGTAGTCTAAAATACCTGTTCGTATATTTAAAAATCCGTATATTTAAATGTAGTTACGGTTGATAGTAAGTACCTAGTGAAATGGAGATTTTCGAAAAAAACACATCTCGGACTCGGCCGGCGGCCTTGCTCCGAGGGCCGGATCCGAGGGCCCCGGGTTTTTGCTCATCTCCCGAACTCTGAGGAATTTTGGACCTTTTCCATCGCTTGGAACCTGCAAGTGCTGTGGGTTTTTCTTCTCCAACTCCCTGTGCCGCAGAGCAAGATGAGTTTTTTGGGGTTTAAGTTGACGAGAGATCAAAGAGGAGCCCCACAAAAAAGCAAGTGATTGGGAATTGCGGATGGATGGTAGCTGGAATTGAACCCATTGCAAGCCACCACACCAAATCTCTTTAAGACCAAAGGACTTCCAACGTAATGGCTGAAGCTATGGGATGAATGGTCATTCCAGCATTCCTATGTTCACCAGTTGCATTGTTTGTTTCAGGCCGACTTGGTTTGCTTCTGGCTGCCATTTCTCTTATTTGGAACAGATAGTAGAAACCCATACGTTCGCAACCTCATTTCTGGCGGAGAGATTTCGTTGGAGGTTGACTCCCTATGAAATCTGCATGTTCACAGGCTAGATTGCCTTTGTGCATTAAGTCAACAGTGCATCCCTTTTTCTATGGCCACGGTCAACCCTGAGGTAACATTGGTGAACAGCAGCGCAGTTCAACCAGCCACTGGCATTTGGGACACTTGGCACTTGACCATACCTGACCTCACAAAGCTGGCACTCTTATGGTCAGGATTAAGGCTGGTTGGTGGCTTGGAACATTTTTTCCATAATATATGGGATAATCCTTCCCATTGACTAATATGTTTCAAGATGGTTGAAACCACCAACCAGTTTTGGTCAGGATTAGGGTAATCATCCCAAACATTGCTTGGGGCACCCTCACCGCCCGGATCCCAGATGGTCGCCTAGGACGTGCTTGGAATCTCTCTGTGGTCTTTGGGCTTCCTCTTGGAAGCAGCGGCTCGCAATGCGAGAGGGGCCGCAAGCAGAGCTCACAAATTGATTCTGAGGATATCTTTCGGATTGAGCGAATCATCCCAAAATAGCGGTATTCGTTTAATGTGAGTCGTTGATGGAATTTGTGCGCGATCTGAAAAGAAATGAACGGGACTTTAATGAACAATTTGGACCGTACTACTTCCGTGTTTTTTGGGTGGTGCAGTATCGGACCTTCGAGCGCCCTGAAATGATGAAAATGATGCAGTGGTTCAGAGAGCAGGGGATATCTTGTATCCCCCCCCCAAAGGGTTGGTTCGACACAATGAAACCTCTTCAACAGTCTGTTGATTTGCTTGCAAAGTGCTTTATTTTTTGCTGGAATTGTTCTACGAAAAAATCCACTTGGATATCTCGCACTGGACGTGAGCTAAATTGAGTTGATGTTCGTTCGCAAATCGGATCCCATGGGGATGATATGAAACGGGGAATCGGGGATCTAACGATCCAGATGTTCCAATCCAAGTCGTGCCAAAGCTCGTGCTTGAAAAAAGGCTTTCCCATAATCCCGATGGTTTGGAAAATCACGTTCTCGATGTTTGGTGGCCATTTAACAGTGTTCTCAATTTCGGAGACATTGCCAAATATCATAGTGCTGATATATTCCATTATTTCTTTATTCTCACTATACCGTCATATCCCTCCCGCTGTTATTGTTGAGTATCTCCCATTGTGCCCCAATCAACATCCTCTGAAATTGCTGCGAGTGGAAAAATATCGCCATCTCCACAACGTGGAAATCCCAATAAATTACTTCGCTAAGAATCACTATATACAATGTGTATGTATATATATACGTATGTATACATACATACACACATACATACATACATACATACATACATATACATACTTTCATACATACATACATGTATACATTTTTATACATACATACATACATACATACATACGTACATACGTACATACGTACATACGTACATACGTACATACGTACATACATACATACATACGTACATACACATACATACATATACACATACATATACACATACATATACACATACATATGCATATACATATACATTTACTTTTACATACATACATACATACATACCTACATACATACATATATACATACATACATACATACATACGTCCATGCATGCATGCATACATGCATGCATGCATGCATGTATGCATGCACACACGCATACATTGACATTACATTACATTACATTACATTACCTTATACATTACATTACATTACAATACATTACATACATATATATATATATATACATACAAAATATGTACATAAAGTATATCCATATGCATATACAGATACATTTACATATACACACACATATACATATACATGTACATATACGCCATAATCATGAGCTTTCTCCATGAATACCATCTGACTAGGGAGTCCCTGTCTTGAAATCGAGGTGGCTGATGGTCAGAAGTTTGCCTTCAGAGGGGTGGCATCCAACAAGGGCAAATTCATTCAGTCGGGTCTCTGGCAACTGAGCCTAACAGGGCATGATTTCGGTGTCTGAAGTGGTGTGGATACCCCAAGATAAATAGCATCAATTAATGATACACTTGATGAACCAATGGAAACCAATGGGTTTTTTTGGTGTTCCAGATCTTCACAAAATCCATGTTTGGTCGAGATGTTCATGGAGAATGTGGAACAAACTGCTGAAGATTTTTACGCTTAGGCTGCTTGAGAACAGCAGCATGTTTGGATGTTGCAGATGACGTTTACTTCAGAAATTCCACAAGCTGTATCTATTGCCGGTTTCTGTCCACGTTTATCTCCTGCTGCATGCAAGAAAACACGGAAACCACTTGTAAACACCACAGAAATCGAATGCCAAGCGCGGATCATCAAGTGCCACCACAAATAATTCTGCTTTACGGTTGAGAGGTTGAGATGGAACCCATCCAAGGGGTAAGCAAAAAAGGGTTGACTTCATATGATTTTGTAGGGCAATAGACTATCCCTCAATCCACTATTCAAATGTCGTTCTTCCATTGAAATTGGAATCACAGACGGGGTCTCCAAGCCATATTCAGAGCCAACCAAATGTTGATTGCTGGCATGAAGCTAACCTGTGGAGGTCAGCAGCGTGTTCGCTGCTCCAAAAACGACAGTAAATGATTAGCCTTTGGTGATCATGGCGAAAATGCTCTACCAATAGAGATCCAATAGAGATATTTATGATATTTGAATAGGAAAATCATCTACAATATTTATATTGCGTTGATAATTATCATCATAAATGTGTTGAGAAAATGGCAAGTACAGCAAATGATTTGCACCTCTGAAATTCTGCTGCTATTGCCTCCAGACAAACATTGGCCCTGGATTCAATCTCCCACGCTTTCATCACCTACCCCTGGCCTCAAGTGAATTCAGGTTACTGGCTGCTGACATGGTAAAGTTGGATGAATTTAATTTGGTGAGTTCCGAATCATATAACCAACCAGCTGAACTTGTCCGGTTTCTGAAATATGAAACAATTCAGCCGGATTTTTTTTGGGTCATGTTTAGTCGTCAAACCTAAAAAACCATCCCATGTTGGGGGTAGTTTGATCCATGCCTAATCAGATACCCGCAATGTGAGAGGATGAAACTCGCAACACCGCCTTTGGAGGTCTTTGGCCCAGCAAAATGCCAGGTTTGTTGCTGTCGACATATGAACTAAGGCGATATTCACGACATCCCAACTACTTTGGTGAGATTCTCATGCGCCAGGGACGAGTTGGGTGGAGCTAGGGTACGGGTGAGAATTGAGATGTCCAGTGATTTACTGAAATTTGATGGTTAATAATTGTTGTTGTCAATGGCTAATGATGGTTAATATGGGTTTTGAATGGTTAACATTAACGATTGTTTTCATGGTTGCTGATGGTAATCTTCATGGTTTTGATGGTTTTTTAAACGCCCTTCCCCCGTTCATCAAAAAAACATCCAGGTCTTTCTGGATGAAACCGGTTAAGGGGATTGGACGAGCTGGTTTCATGTCGCTATCCTCTGGTTGTGACTAACAGTTCGCCATGGAAAATCCCAACCATAAATGGAGGTTTCGTTCGCTGGGAAAATCATCTATTTCTATGGGCCATCTATACCATTGCTATGTTAAATAACCAGAGGGTATCCTTTCAATGTTGTTGGTTTTATGAACATAACATGATGTTGCTTTAAGAATATTGGGTCGCCATGAAAAAAATATTAAAAAAGGGGACTTCTCATGAAAATCGAAAAAAACTCCCGTTGGATGGACTCATCGTGATGGTTTTCCAGTAGCGCAACGAGTGATGTCAGGATGGACCCTGGCAGATAGGGATTGGAAGATGAGTTTCCAGTAAAAATTTCTGATTTTTAGGGTCGAACTGTTAATTTATCAGATGGTAATTATGATTGACCGGTTCCCAGCCATGCTATATGATTATCAATGGACGTTGTTCGTGATGATAATGAATATCACGAATGGCCAATTCATATTCATGTCCTGGCTGAGGTACCTCTAAAACTGTGCAACGCGACATCCCCCTTGATCACTGGGGACATCTATGAAATCTTTCGGGACGTAAATGAATACGTATCCCTGAAAGTCA